CAGCAGTATTCTCAGCTCCATGCAGTAAAAGTACAGCAGTATTCTCAGCTTAATTTAATTTAATGTATTTCACGTGTATGCATGCGTGTGTGTGTGTGTGTGTGTGTGTATTTATATGTGTGTGTGTGTGTGTGTGTGAGTATTCAGTACTTAAAGCTACAGAGCAGGAGAGGGAGCTAAAGCACAACATTTAAACACAAACCTCTCTTGAGTTCTGGATACTTCTGTTCTGGCTTTGTGTGCCAAAGTACTTTCATAAGTACACTCTACATATTAAACAGCATGTAGATATCTTTATAACTTCCATTATAATTCATGTTGTAAAGTCTGGAGGTCTTTTAATCTGAGAATGTTTCTTTATCGTCTGAAGTTATAAAGTGTTAGTTTAGGAAGTACTTTAGGGAGTACTTGTACCTTTGATACTTCAACCACAGTACTTTAACTTGCAGTATTTCTCCATAAATGTTCGGCAGTATAAGCTGGTGAGCTGTGAGGTGAGCAGGACGAAGTAGAAACCAAAAAGAACCAGGAAGTGTAGCAACCCCCCCCCCCACACACACACACCCACACACCCCCCCCTCTGGTCCCCCCCCCCCCCTCCCCCCTCCCCCATTCCTGAAAGTCAACAATAAACCACGTTTCCAGTAAGCCGGATACCTCCCCAGGTCCTGCTCATCCCCATGGAGACCACTACGAGAGTCCTCCGGCCAAACCAGGCCACCCATGAGGAGGCCATGAGGAGGCCGTGAGGAGACTATGAGAGACCATGAGGAGGCCATGAGAGACCCCCCCCCAATATGGATCAGAGAGTCCATCTCCACCAGGACACAGTGCAAACGCTCCTGTGTGGACACAAACAGAAGAAGACTTGGCAGCAGCTCTGGTGCATATTTGAGAGGAGAACCAGGACGTCCTGCTAGATTTTACAGACTGCCCCCCCCCCTCTCACCCTGGTCCTTTGTGAGTCGTGACGTCAGCGTTCCCCCACTGAGTGACACAGTAGCTTTGTTTTGGAGTCGCCACATCTCATTTACGGACGCTTAACTCCAGAGTCTGCGTGGTGGCCTTTCAGCACCCCGACTCCTTTAATCCCACCGGTTTGTTGGTGGAGCTCAATGAGCAGCCAAGTTTGTGTGTGCTGAGTTCAGGGGCGCCGCGTCCGCTTTATGGGGGGGGGGGGGGGGGTGAGCTGGAGGCTGCAGAAGAAACACGTTTCTCAGTTTACGACATTAAACTGAACATCTTTGAGAAATCAAACAAGACATTTGAATATGTTTCTTTCAGCGTTTAAACGTTTTACAGTAAGCATTTAACTTTTCAGGATGTTTATTAGGTTCTTTAAGTTTCCTAAATAAATAAAAATTTCATGAAATACAAAAATATTCTGATGTTTTGAGATGAGTCATATTTTAAAATAAAATCTCTCTTGTATTCAGAACAAACAGAATCTCAGACATTAAGTCTCATATTTAGTTTTATATAAACGTCATTTATACATATAATTGTCCGAAATGTTCCATGTCTGGAACTGATGGTGCCAATATTTCTTCTTTTACTAATATCAGCTGATTATATCGATAATATAATATTTATCAGATGGTTCTAGTTTTAACTTAACTTAACTTAACTTATCATAACTTATCTTAACTTAACTTAACTTAACTTAACTTATCTTATCTTAACTTAACTTAATTTAACTTAACTTAACTTAACTTAACTTAACTTAACTTATCTTAACTTAACTTAACTTAACTTAACTTAACTTAACTTATCTTATCTTATCTTAACTTAACTTAACTTAACTTATCTTAACTTATCTTAACTTAACTTAACTTAACTTAACTTATCTTATCTTAACTTAACTTAATTTAACTTAACTTAACTTAACTTAACTTATCTTATCTTATCTTAACTTAACTTAACTTAACTTAACTTAACTTAACTTATCTTAACTTATCTTAACTTAACTTAACTAATCTTAACTAACACTAAATCTTTGGGCTTTGCATCGCTGCATCTTCTGCTTGCATCTTTTCTTCCGACCCTTTGGACATCACATATCACATCAAACACATTTCCCTTCAGTCCGTGTTCCAGATGTTCTGTTCTCTCTTCATCGTCACTCTGAGGAGGAGGAAGTTCAACAACCTGACGTCCTCTGACGTGACGTGAGAGCTTTGGATCGTTTGCAAACAGTTGGGGTAAAAACGTCAAAGCCATTAGCAAACAAAGGTTCAACACGTCCTCATGATGTGTCCTCTCTTTCCTCCACTCACTTCACTAATCTGCTGAATCTGTAGTCATTTGTCCTCATTGACAGCCGACCCTCCCTCTGCAGCCTCCCACTGCTCCTCTGGACCAACCAATAGTCTCCAACAGCTGGTAGCTGAGATAAACAGGAAGCTGAATCCAAACACAGAAGACAGTCCATCACAAGATATTCAGGTCATGATCACATGACACTTTCTGATCAATCTCTGTTGATTGACTCTACAGGTAAAAGCCTCATTATGCATGCACAGGTCATTAAGAGTTTGACTTAACTTCTCTTATCTTGACTTAACTTAACTCATCTAAACTTGACTTGACATATCTTAACATAACTTATCTTATCTTAATTTAGCTTGACTTATCTTAACTTAAAAAAACAACTGGGTAATGAATGTTAAAGAATAGAATAATGGAATAAGTTGAAATCAAGTGTGATGTCACTTCCTGTCCTTCATGAACACCGTGGTCATCACGGCCGTCTGCAGCCTCAGCAGCTTCTTTGTTCATGATCAATCTCCTGGGAGGGGAGTTTACAAGAAGTAAAGGGAGGAGAAAGACGGGGGGGGGGTTCTCCTCTTTCTCCTTTCTCTTTCTTCAAGCCCCCACCCCCACCCCCCACCTCCACCCTATGCTGTCCTGCCTCTCAGCTCCAGCCTGTTTGCATTCCTCTCAGTTAATAAGTGTTTGTCTGATCCCTGGCGGGGGGTGTAAAGATCATCCCCCGCACACACACACACACACACACACCTCCCCCTCTGACTCACCCAGCTGTGAAGAGGACAGGAGTGATGCTGAGGAACAGACGAGGAGAAGGTGTCATAAACTTCATAGACACACTGCTCAGCCATTAACTTATATAATAACCAGCAGAATGCAACACACGCACACACACACACATACACACACGCACACACACACACACACACACACACACACACACACACACACAGCTGAAATCTGAATTTGAATCTGAAGGTGGATCCATACCTGGACAGTGAATAAATAATAACGTCTCCTTGTGTGACGTTAAAAGTCTGAAGAGTTCAAATGTTGGAAGCTGACTTTTAAAGTGCCGGTTGGTGGCGGCGTCACTTTCCTCTTGTGAAGTCAATCATTCCTCGACTCTACGGGTTATTAGATCACATATTAAACCCAAACTGAGAGCTGCAGTGTTTTCATCCTTATTTTAGGGGGGGGGGGAAGAACAGAGACTACAGTCTGAGAGGCTGTACTGTAAGCTAAATGCTAACGTCAGCTTAGCATGGTATAAATATTAGCATTAGCATGTTGCTAATTATCAGTAAACACAGAGTTCATGTCATTAATTCTGCAGGTCTTTGGTCATACAGTATTGGACTCTTTAACGGGATGGCTTGGACCGGACCTGACCGGGTGTTGTGTGGACGAGGCCCTTTTATTCACTGCCGTCGCCACGGCAGCTCACCTATTGAGGGCGTAGAGTCTAAGATATGTAAAGCAGCAGCTTTTTAAAAAAGCTTTCACCCTCCGCTGTGAAAACAGACAAAGACCATAAAGAAATCAAATTAAAGTTTTGGAAAAGGGAGCAGGAGAGGAAAGAGAGAGAAAGTATCCTCTGTGGTGAATGCAGGCCAAAGCCGTGTGCTGGAATCCGACGAGTGTTTGAGAGAATGGAAAAAAAGAAAGGAGTCATTAAGAGACGCAGCGAGGTGGAGGAGGCTACTACGATGCTGCGTGTTTATGCTCTTCCTGGTCCAAGTCCGGCAAGCGGCTCGGTGAGTCTCCCGCCTAGCATTGTGGGTAGAGGCAGGTCTGTGCATGCCCGGGCCAAGGTCCAACTGTGGCCGCCAAGAAGAACACATGCAGGGCTCAGCCTGCCCCCCCGCCACAACGTCTCGTTTATGTTTGCTTGTTCAGTCCGTTTCCCTCCACAGGGACCAGCCTCTGCCGCCTCGGCAGCACACGCAGGTATCAGGTGACTCTACCTCCATCAGGTGACTCTTCCTCCATCAGGTGACTCTTCCTACAGGACCGTGAGGACGAGTTAAGCTGCTGCATATCTTCCCTCAGCATCAGCGGCACTCTCTGTAGTATGAAAGCCCATCTCCA